TTGGAACCGTTCGGTAAGAACTGAGCGAAAAACAATTACTACCTTCGAACTATTAAATAGATTTAACCCCTTGCCATATGTTTTATTTTACGACTTCACTCCGAAGAATTACTTTATCGTTAATATTTTCCCAGATACAAAAGGAATTCTATTTTTATTCTAAATCTGAAATGTTAATACCAGCGATACAGTATTTTACGTCGACTCGAAGAAGACGAATAATATATATGTTTACTAAATTCATTGTGAAATCGTAATCACGTGTCTGAGTCGATGTTGTAAGGGGTTAAGACAAGTCTCTATATGTAGAAATGGTGAACTTTGCATTAATTACCCTATGTGTTGAACTTTACATTGTTTTAAAAATATGAATATATCCTTTTTAGACTATTATCTACCTATTAAAAACTAGACGACTTAGAACGAAATAAATTTTACCACCAGGAAGAGAGAAATATTTGATACCGGAAATATGTAAAATGTTATTTTTTTTAACATTCGACTTAATGCACTCTGACTCTTTATAAATAAATATTCGGATTATCATTAATTCCGTCACGAACTTCGATGGTCGAAAATAAATTTCTCCGGCGCGAGTGGTAAAGAGAAAGAAGACGCAAAGGGGGTTCCAGACGAAGAAGACGCCCCACGTTTACGAGGCATGGGAGAGGTCCTTGGCTCTGCCATTATGGTCGTATGGGATTTCTTGGTAGACCCTTCCCTCGGGCAGCTGCCTCCGCTTTCGGTATTCGTCTTCCAGATTCGAGAGTGAAATCGGAAGACCCCGAGGATCCTAGGTGCTCCGACGACCAGCTACGTCGAGAAGAGGGGATGGCCGAGGCGACGCCATATGGCGTCTAAACGAGGCGTCGACAAACTAATACCTTGACGAGCGACGACACCGGAATAAGCGCACGAACGAGTCGAGAAAAATTGAAGATGAACGTGACACACATGACCCCGGAGTTTCATGCATTTACGTATGGAATGACGCGCGAGGCTTTGAGATTTTTTCCTGGGGAATGTAAATATTATCGACGAGTTATTAAATGATTGAAATCGAATTGTAGATAGAGCTGACGAGATAAGACAAAAACTGAGATCTACTGACGTACTTGTAGATTAAAAGTGACGACAAAATGTACAAAAATGGAACAAAATAGAAACCATGGAATTTCTAGGATTTTACTGAAGTATACAGGGTGTCCTAACTAACAGGAGCGATTTTAGTATTGTCACTTGCTATTGATTTGAAGAAAATTTATTTTAATGAGTGAACAAAGTGATGTCCATCAACTTCGATACATGGTTGCACTAATCCCTAGTTATTTTGTTATTTAAATCTACTATTATATATTTGTAGATTTTGCATATTCAAGATCACACTATTACAGGTTATTGGATTGGTCTTTATCTCGAGTATTACGTCACACTGATAAAAATATGCAGTCCCATTTAAAAAAACATCGACGACCATAGAATTTCGAAAAATATTTACTTATTTTACGGAATAATTCCCATTAGAATACAAGTGAAAAAATATGATCTTGAGAAAAACTTTTGCTTATCATACTATTTGCTCTTTCTGACGAAATAATGCTTTCTTCTTAGAGTTTTGTGTATCTTCAAAAACAAGGGAGATACTGAAGGTGCTCACGTTAGATGGAACACCCTGTAGAATCGTAGACTAACCCGTTGCGTAAGGGTTGAGAGATATCTCATTTCGATATTCTAATTTATTTATATGTACAGTATTAACGACTGGTTGTATCAAAGTAATTAATTTTGATGGCTGACCCTCTCACGACGAAACGAACCCGTACATGAAAGTCGATAAAACGTTTGCTAGACTGAAAACCCATATCTCTATATACCCAATATCAGCTTTCACTACAAATTATAAAACTGTCAATCCTTGCTGACGAAACTTAGATATTAACCGTCCACAGAATTTTAAGCATTTTTCAAATGTAGATAGGGTAAACCAACCAGTAATTGACTGCACACCAGTAAATGACCATTAGGTAAGAAATATAAACGATAAATTTAAAATGATTAAATGTTTATAAATGGAGTATAATTGCACTTTCAATTTCCCATATTTTTAGTTTAGCGTATTAAACAAACATTAATAAGTACAATACTTATTAAAAATACTTCAGCAATGTAGCAGTCATTTACTGGGCTTTGTTTGCACTGTGTTAATAATTTTTTTGAAATCAGGATAAGAAATTATTTTTATAAAAATGTCAAGAAAAATATACGTTATTGCAATTTCAATAGATGTTTTGTTGTTATAAATAAATTCATTCAAGTATTAATCTCAAAGGTGCATAAATTCAACAATTCGATCATTCACTGGTTTACCCTATGTTGCATCAGTGCAACAATAGGAGTTAAAAGAATTCATCTAATGCGTATTTTGTCAATGTACGCGTGTTATAAAATTATTTACCGCGCCAGGGCATAAATTATAAATTAAATCACGTTATTATAATCATTTGTCAACCCACAATTTAGAATTTGGTTGTTTCTCAGCGCTCCAAGAATTCGATGAACGTGGGACCATACACAACTCGTTAATCATTCCGGATTCATTGTGTTGTATGAACGACTTAAACGATCGTATGACGTTAGCAAAGAAGGTATGTGTACTGATGTTTCGTGACGTATCGCGAGCAGATTCGCGATACACGGACCGTTTAGAACCGTGCGTACGCGATAGATCAGATTGTGTACAGTTGCTTGACAAAACGAAAGGGAGACAGATTTAAACGCGACGGAGAACCGATCCGCCATCTGTCACGCGAAGCGTGCCACGCGGTAAAAACACCGAGCAAATACATACTCATTCATTTCTTCCGGTGCGCTGGGTTTTGGTATTCGACGCGACACACGCGCATTTCTGTCCTCTGAGCGTAGAATATGAATAATCCGTGGATCAACGGTTAATTACGGCTGATACGATACCGAGCGTATAACATTAAAAATATTACGTAATATTATCCAATGTGTACGTCGACACGCGAATATAAGCTTTTCAACAGGGACTTTTAAATTTTACATAAATCACACATTTTGGATGAAAGTTCTGTATTTTTTTATTGGTATATAATGTGGAAAGTCTACAATTTATCAATTAAAAAGAATATCGGACAAATGTCCACCACGATCATTTTTACGGACGTCGATCCTTTTGTCAATGTTTCGATTACAGTTTTGTATAATTGCGACTCCTATCTCACCAATTACGCGTTGGATGTTGGTTTTCAAGACTTTAATGGATTGTGGATTATCTGTATAGAGTTGATGTTTCATATAACCGATAAGAAATAGTCTAATGGCGTTAAATTTCGTTCGCAATAAATTCATTGACTCCGAAATTTTGCAATCTGTAGTTTTCACAGATCCACCATTTCCGTAGTGGATTTTAATTATTTTTATGCGATTTTCTATTGAAATTGAAGACATTATAATAAATTGTAGACCTTGTATTGTACTTGACATATATCAAAAAATAGAATGACAAACCTGTCACCACATCGAAAATTGCCCCTATTAAAAAACAAAGTCCCTGTTGAAAAGCCCTTTACATTCGACCGATAACGCTGTTTTGTTTTACTGTAATTATTATGTGTAACGTATGTTATGGGGAACTTGGGTGTTTTTTACGACGTTGTGTGGTAATCTTACAGCAACACGGTAATGTTCGTGACTCTACAATTACAAGAAATCTACACGGACCTTTATTCGTTCTTTAATCTTGTGTTATAATTTAGGTTGTATGTTAATGTTGTGTTGTTTAGGTGTACCAATGAGAAATTCACTATAACTTCACGGACTTAGTATTAGTCTTTATGAAACTCGAGGATTTATAGTGCTTCATTTGTATTCATAATCAAGATCCTACATCATTTTCAATCAGTGGAAAAATCTTTTTACAAGATGAAGTAAATTGCCTCGTACTTTTAAAAATGGTGGATTACTTATTGGTACATCTAATGTTAGACTGTGGATTTCGTGTAAAATAAGAATATTAATAAAGTCCGACTTGATCTTTATCTACTAAAACTGTTCCTTCATGAAATAAGTTTGTATTTAACTGTTACTTGCATAAGTGAATACGTACGAACGTAAACAACCTACATAAACATCTATGTTATGCAATCACAGCAAATGCAACGGGATAAGACATGTACTATAATTGAAACTTTAATAAATTCTAACGCTGGCATAAGTTTCTTTTGTACTCGAGAAAATTATTCATTCCGGTAATCTGTTCCTATTAACTCCTGTTTTTATGAATTAGTCCAAGAATAGGAATTTGCATACCCATCCGCAGTCTACTTATAACGTACTGAATATTTACCTTTACACATGTCCGTGAAATAAACCACTGACTCTAATAAACGCCTTTCTACGTGACTCCTACTCCCCCGGATTGGTCAATAAAAGTGTAAATTTCTATGAACACCCACAGTCCAATAAAATACCAGTTCAAAAAATCTGAAGAAATTCCAGGATACTTATCAAAGTCTCTACTACATAATACAATCATTCAAGTCGAATGTTCCAAATTGTTTTCAATGCAGAACTAAAAATTCCGAGAAAAATCTTAGAAAAAAGAAAATTTCACTTAGGTAGCTAACGACTCTTATTGCATACAAAGGGTTATAGGTCAGGACAGCACTCTCGGATACTACTGCTTTTCACTATTATTCCAATAAAATTATACGAAATTCCAATTCCAAAGAACGAAACAACAAACGCCAGACGAATCCTTATGAACGCGTTCACGGTAAACGTGTGTGTCACCCTCGTGCTCGCGACAAAAAGGAAATCATATTTACGCGAGCTCCGAATTAGACGACAGGGCGGGTCTCATCCCAGGAGATCCCTTAATCCTGTTTCCTGGCGGAACGAGCCGCATCGGGGGCAAACTTTCGGGGGCCAAGTATCCGTAAACGATACAAAAATAAGATCCGAGGATATAGACTTACCCTGACGGGAGCGCGGAACAGCGGCGCAGCGATGGCGTGCGGATTAGCATGATGGTGAGCGTGGTTGTGGTGGCCATGGTGATGGTGTCTGGTGTCAGGACCACCTCCTGCAGCCGCCTGTTCGGCCTGGACCGACATCGCCGCGCGGGCCTGTCGTTCCCGCTGCCGAAGCCGGTCCCGCTCCACGCTGAAAGACAGAAATTGAGCTCTGGTTAGTCCTCCTAAACACTTCTGATCGTTGTCTGATCGTGTTAACGTGACTGATTCGATGTAGCGAATTTGGATTAAGCCTTTGGACTAGAACTGTAAGTATTAGAATATTCGAACTATTCGAATTATTTTAAATACTTCGAATAGTGCGAAGTATTCGAATAATTCGAATAGTACAAAGTATTCGCATCATTCAAATAGTATAGAGTATTCTAATAGTATGGAGTATTCGAATAATTTGAATAGTATGGAGTATTCGAATAGCACGAAGTATTCGCACAATTCGAATAGTATGGAGTATTCGCATAATTCAACTAGTATAGAGTATTCTAATAGTATGGAGTATTCGAATAGCACGAAGTATTCGCATAATTCGAATAGTATGAAGTATTCGAATATTTGAATATTCGAGTAGTATGAAGTATTTGTATTATATAGATATTCTTCTGGAATTCTGGGTCAAAATGGTCCTACACACCGCGGTCCGAGGGTTAACGACGTACCGAAGGGAGAAAGAATTATATTAGTTCTAAATGTACATTTACTCCAAAGTTTCACCATTAATAAGCGCAACAGAGCATTTCACTTACGGGAAAATGAATAATATTCGTGTTTATTAAATTCAGTTCACCTGCACCACGTGGGGTGAATATTATGAAGGAAGGAGTTAAAGGTACACTGTGTTCGAATAATTCTTGCTACTTGCCGTTATATTGACTCACTGTAAAGCTGTAATAACTACACAGTAACCGTCAATTCTGCTATGACTCTATGAAAGACGGATAGTATGTTCCTCGCGACTTCCGACCGACGCAATATGTGTCGTCATTGCTGTCGACTTTTGTGCAACCACGGTAGGATGAAAATTATTATGTTCCACGGTGTGTACACCTACTCGGATGATTTCATCGTTTAGCATTCGCGGCGGATCGCTTACCAGTAAATACCAGTGCACGATGGAACGATCATGGGATCCTCTATGTTCCGCCACGTGTACATTAACGACGCAAAGTGTTTTAATTGAACTCGATCGACCCTTGTGCGTAGCTCAAATAATTCTTACACAAGTATCGAGTGGATAACATTGACCTAAAATCAACACTGAACTACTGAAACGATTCACTTTATATTAACACAATCACCGCCGCCCGTTGGCCATCGGTGTGACCGACAGAGAACTTTCCGTGCACGTCGCGTCGATCACCAGTGAGCGCCATACAATACAAATTTCAATGTCATACACTGTCGAAATAGACTCCACGGTGAACGTGTTAACTCATTAGGACTTCAACGTCGCGTTAACGCGTTATTTCACTCGCAATTGTTTTTTCAGTGAATTTACATTATTGAATTCTGTTTCTCATGTTGCAGTTATGAAAGAGGATCTCAAAGATTTGCTTAATATTTTTTTCGTCACTATTTCTTCTTCCACTTAGATCCTACGAGATTTTGAAATTTTAAGGAACTCAACTATTTATAGTACTATTTATCAATCACTTCTTTCTTAAATCGTAGACATTTTTTAGCGTACCTTTTTCATGTACTGGACTTCTACAAAATGGTATCAAGTATTATAATATATTTTATATATTTCGGCAAAGTAATGTATGTAAATAATTTTAGTCGTGTTATTTAAAACAAAAATTTCCCAAAGTTGTATAAACGCAACATTTTCTACACAAAAAGTACCAATCTAAAAAACTATTCCAACATGTATAATCCTGCCTGAAAACTTGTCTACTACTCATTTCACTGTTTTATATTTGCGTACAATTTCTCGGCACACTTTTCCACACGCGCAATTATTGTAAACGAATTGCCCTCTCAGGTCGAATAAATCCAGGACAGTCACCCAGCAAGCTTAAAATCCCGATCTTTTAATAAATTCAATTTAGTCGACTCGCTGCGACAACAGCGACGCGCCTCCGACGAGATGCTCCGAGAACGGGCCCAGAGCGAGGCGTGTTCCCTGCACGCGACACACGCGAACGCCTTTATCTTCCGAAAGGAAATCCACGGAGGAGGAATTTCATTGCGCGTCTGACACACCGCCGAGAATAACCAGCGCGTTTTAGGAAATACCAAAAGAATGGGGGGAAGGGGAACTAACGGCGCGCGGACGCAAATAGAGAGAGGAAAGAGAGAGATTCGTGACGAGCCATAGAGAGCAGCTGCAGCTGGTGCGAACACCTGTTTAGCCGCGTTTCCGGCGACACGACGCGACGCTTGGGATCGCCGTGCAACCAATCAACGGACACGCGACACTACGACCAGTCTGAAACTGCAGATTCCGTCGGGATCGCGAGAAATTCCCGGCGTTCCTTGCTACGACGAAGCTTAACTCTCGTTTGAGATCTAGCGGTGGAGCATCGTTCGAGATATCGATCGATATCGTCAGTTAAGTTCTTAACACTAGAACTATCGACGATAAATGCATATTTTGGATAAACATGAGAAACTTTTGAAAATTTAAAAATTTACTAATTTCTGCACTTTCATATCGTAATAACAGGTGCAGAAGATCTGAGAAAATGTATTGTTATAATATTTTAATCGTCGTTGTAAGAGTGTATTGACAAGACATTTTGACTTTCTTGGTCGTTCTAGTGTTAACTATTCTAACTCCATTTTTTTTTTAAATATGGTTATTCAATTTTTGTGCTTCTTATTGGTTCAACTACCCTCCGATTTCGATCATTATTGGATTTTTTAGTCGTTGTTCATATTTGGAGATACAACCGTTAAAAAAAAAAAATTTCACAGTTTCAGAGTTAGGACTCGGAAGAATATTTATTGTTTTCCAGGTTGAATTTTTCCAGGGTGAAATTGTAGAAAAGCTACCTACCCTCCGATTTGGATGATTTTTGGATATGTTGTAAAATTCGACATTTTGAACAACTTTTTCCTATACACATAACGGGGGGAGTTACTTAGTTTCCTAGATATTCGTGAAAAACGTTTTCAACCCCTCGTGAATTTGTTTTTTGACCGAAGCCGAGCCTCTGCTTAGCTTCTATTTACTCTATTTTGATTGGTTCCACAGAGGGACTCTCCCTCAGTGGTGGGAATAACGCCGTTACTCGTGTCGCATTCATCGAGGAATCACTGTAAATATCTATTCAGTATACAATATATTATAGCGTGTTTGATTATTTTATTTATATATCCCTGCTTCTATAATATTAAACTTCGTAAACCTTAAACTCAGTTTTCTCACTTTAGAAAGTAGTAGAGCCATAACAATTAAGACCTACAGCAACGACACTGGGATATATGTTAAATTACAATATGAAATGTTAGTATCATATATTTCTCCACATCATTGATTCAAGTTTCTACAGTTTCGAAATCTTACAAAATTTCCGATTCGAGTTTCGAGGATTTAAAAATTACATTCCAACCCACCCCTAATTTCCACCGTACCGAGATCGATCCACCGAATATCGACCACATTCGTCAGCAACCGACTGTTCCAAGGTCCGTAGTCGACGATGGTTTCGTAGTTTAGTTGTGTTTTTTTTTTTTTTTCTCGTCCGCCGGAAATATCAGCGGAAGGACTGGAGTCGCGGGGAAGATCGAACGGTTGGATAACGGTGAGTAGCGAGAGAAAATTCACGGGAACCCATACGCGAGGCGGATCCGCGATCCAGAATTCGTGGTGTCGTGTCGGTTCGATGAAGTTGTCCCGGGGGCCATTGGCCGACCAGCCGGCGACGGGACGGATATTACCGGCGGCGAGGAAGCATCGCGCGCACGTATATCTCTTCCCATTACGAGTTTAGATACGAATGATTTCCTGGTTGCTGAAACGCAGCCGGTGGACTGGGGACAGAATACTTTCGCGTATAGTCGATGGAACTTATATATAGCGTGGTCGTAAATTAAAGCGTTAAGAGACGACAGCCATTGATGGAGTCGAACTCAGGGTCGCAAACGTCTGATGAAAGTAGGTGGGTGCTTTGACTCTTGAAAGTGAGATGAGGCGGTAGAAATCATTTGTCAATTGATATTTAACCTATTCACTGACCGTTTGTCCCGAGTGATACGATGTAATTGTTAAAATGATACATACATACGTGTATAACACGTTTTTTTTTTTTTTTACATTTTTTTATGGTGGATAGAAGTAGTTTAAAAAATCATATTATATATTAAATTATTATTATTATTGTACGGGGTGTCACAAAATAGTTGCAAGTCCTTGAAAAGGATAATTCCTGGGATGGTTTGAAACAACCTCTTCCTTAGGGAAAAAAAGTTGTTTCAAATTACCCTAGAAATCAACCCTTTCAAGGACTTACGCCTATTTTGGAACACCGTGTATATTAAAATATACATTTGTTTTACCACAAGTCGTAAGTATTTGATAAGTATCAATTCACAGGCATATGACGCCAAAGTGTCATCGACCAAAAGCAATTATCGCTCACACGACGTCATCCGTCATCGCAGTGTTAACCATGCTTCTCAACGACATACGCACGAAAGTCGCAACACAACTAACGGATGAATACGCTCAATAACGTTTCAACTCCAAAGCGTGACGATTTCAATCGCCCTGAGTGGAACAGATCGGTAACTGGAGGGTGCCACTTAAATGTGCACCGTCACGCCACTATGGCGTCATCGGTCGTCGTAGAGTTAACATGAATTCTGACAGATACACGTTTCTCGAAAATATATCCGTCATTTTTACCGTTTCCCCGTTCGTAAATAAATTTATGAATGCTATAATAGCTTAAATTAGAAACATTCAATCCCCAGAGCAAACGTTTTGGTAAGAATCTTTCTTTCAAGATATTCACCTCTTAACCCTTGTGTAGGCAACGAAAATATATTCACGATTATTGAGCAACCGGAATACTACTATTCTGACAGATTAAATGAACATAGATAATTTTATTTTCATAATTTTACTCTTAGTTTTCCCTTCCTATAATATATCAAGTGCTGTTTTAGACAAGAACATAAAAAATT